TACATTTACTCCAATACTTTACACCTCTGACACACACACACACACACACACACACACACAACTTGAGAATAAACAAGACTGGTGTATTTGTGTGTGTGAAAGAAGGGGGAAGACAGTTTGCACAGGGATGCAGTGCAAACTAGGCATTATCAAATATATAATGGATCATCATCTAGCTTTCTAAAAATGTTTGACATGCTTTTTATAATCTGTTTTCATGTAACACTGGAATAACCTGTTTGAACTCAGGTACAATTTGAATCAACACCATCAGATCTTAAATAGTTTGTGCCGAATGGAGGAATGACTTATTGAAATTATTCAATATTTTCTCTTACAATATGTAAAGACAACTGTAAGTATTCATTTGTAGACTGATTTTGCTGTAAAAAAAAAAGTGTAAACACTGTGTCTAAGCATTCCAATGAGCCAAACAGTCTTTGTTATGCACAATTGTGTTTGGTGATGAAGGTGGTGCAGAAATGATACACTTCAGCTTAAAATGATGTTCTAATAAAGCAGGTAAATTTTTCAAGACACACGTCCTATTTATTTAGCATGTGTCCTATCCAGTCTTGATGCTTGAAACTCTCTAGGATTAGTGACGGCATCCACTCCATGTGTTATGACAGCATTCCTATCATTTACAGAGCTCCAGCTCTAATTCCCTGGAATTATTCCTTTGGGTTTGACTCGCAATCACTTCACATTGGTTGCACTAAACCTGTGTTTTAATCCAAGCTCTGTATGTCGCATTCGGTCATTCAGCGTGGTCTTGGATTTAAGAATGATTGTCTATTCCCGTTACAGAGTCTAATTTAAGAATGCTATATCGTAAAACGCTAGCGAGAACAGAGGAACGTGACAGTGAATTTTAATGTTGACATTCATTACAATGATCAATGAGGAGTAAGCCATCATGGTAAATACAGACTCGTGTCTTTCTCCTGCTGTCTGCACACACTGTCCTGCTCTCATAAGCTCATAAATGGCCTATATGCTATACACATAAAACAATAAATGGCCATGTTTCCTTATTAATTTTTAACTCATCCATTTTTAAAGTAACCTTTACTATACTGATTAATGGTTGGCAGGAATTCTAGATAGACAGAATGATAGAACAGCCAATGACACACACTGACGGACGGACAGACGGACGGATGGAACAAACAAATGATGGATGGATGGAGAGACAGACAGAAATAATGACAGACAGAACAAATGAACAAATCAATAAATAAACTAACTAAGGATGGATGGGTGGATAAATTAATAATGGATCTATAAAAAAACATATAGATAGACAGACAGACAGAAAGAACAAAAGACAGAAAGATAGACAGGTGGATAGAGACAAATCGATAGAGAGACGGACACAAAAAAAAATGACAGACAAATGGATGGGCGGACACAAACAAATGATAGATAGATAGATAGATAGATAGATAGATAGATAGATAGATAGATAGATAGACAGATGTTTTCACCACTGTATTCTAATGAAGGTACTTTGTATTACATGAAGTCAGAAAACAAAGCCATTGGGAAAAACAGCTGATTATTAATCTCCACAATCCTTTTTTTCTGTGTAAATTACAGTACTCAGTAACTAAGTCCTGTCCATAGGAAATGGTATTTCTATGAATGAGTGTCCAGACGCCCACTCCACACATCATGAGTCATTGACTGAGACTTGGGTTCTCAGAGTCAGTGGGTGCCGCCAACTGTGCACTTAGATCACTGAACTGTGAGACATAACCCGAACTGCCTCTTGCAGACATGTACACCAAAACACACCACTACACAGCCTTACTGGAATTTAAACAAGCTAATATCAATGCTGCAGGTGCAGATGTAAATTAAAATAGCACTTATTCATGATTAATCTTAAGACTTTGCAGTTTAATCCTCCTACTTAAAAACTGAAACATACAAAATGACACAAAAGTTCATTTTTCCCCCCAAAAAATTTCACTAAATTACATCAGTATTGTATATCCTCCCTTCTCAGCCATTGGTGCATGTCACCCATTGATTTACATTACAGATCAGCACTTTCCATACTCTTCAAATTCTTAAGTTTGTCTTCAGTCTCATCTGAACAAAAAAAGCAGGTGATTCTGGGCCTAGAAACTGTATTTAGCAAATATCTGCAATATGCACTAAAGTGAGACTGCTTACCATCTGGCTCATAATCACTGGGCTTTTAACAGCAGGCAAAACATCTGTGGTCAGAGTCTGATGTCCATTACGGGAAGGCAAGGCTCTGCTGTTGGCTTGAGCGGTGACAGGCTTGAAATTTGAGAATAAGGATCATCAAGGGGGAGGTAGATTGATGCCCTCATGTTCAGGCTAAAGCTGTTTGATACCGTCGGCTAGACACAGGTCCCATCTCAATTTGGTGAGCAGTGGAGATAAGCCTGCCAGTGCTGTGTGCTAAACCGATCCATCCATCCTGGTGTCAATAGAGCGATAAGAAGCCCAGCGTGAGAGTGCGAGCTGAAGGGTTACAGGCATGTCTTGCCTACATTGTAAATTTTAGTATGGTAGCGAGGTGCAAAAAAAAAGACCCTCCAATATAAGACGGCACAAGAAATATAACTGCCTCCATTTGCATCACATACAAATGCACAAACAACACAATTAAAGGAATAGCTCACCAAAGAATTATAATTTGCTGAAAATGTATTCACCCTCAGGCCATCCAAGATGTAAAAGAGTTTGTTTCTTCATTGGAACAGATTTGGAGAAATCTAACATTACATCACTTGCTCACCAATGGAACCTCTGCAGTGAATGGGTGCCGTCAGAATGAGAGTCCAAACAGCTGATTAAAAACTTCACAATAATCCAACAAATGACTCCAGTCCATGAATTAACATCTTGTGAAGCGAAAAATTATGTTTGTAAGAAACAAATCTATCTGGCTAAAATACAAGTCCTCTTTCCATAATACTGCTTTCGCCAGTGAAAAAGTTGTCTTGTCTGAATCAGGAGAGAAGTATGCACAGATCAAGCATCATTTACAAGTTAAAACCGTTCTAAACAAATATGTTGATGGATTTTGATTTGAGAGAACAACAGGGGATGGACTTTCATTGGAGAAAGCATTACTATGGATTATGGACTTTTGGTCAGAAGTTACGGTTTAATGTTAAAACTCATTAATGATAGATTTGTTTCTTACAAACACGCAGCTTTTTGCTTAAGATGTTAATTGATGGACTGGAGTGGTGTGGATTACTTGTGGATTATTGTGATGTTTTTATCAGCTGTTTGGACTGTAATTCTGATGGCACCCATTCACCGCAGAGGATCCACTGGTGAGCAATTGATACAATGCTAAATTACCCCAAATCTGTTCCAATAAAGAAACAAACTCATCTACTGTACATTATGGATGGCCTGATGGTGATCTATCTATCTATCTATCTATCTATCTATCTATCTCATAACTGGCTGGGAAGTTTCAGGGAATGTTTAAGCCGCAGGGTGTAAAGATAGTTTGGGGGTTGCTTATTGTGGACTTGGCCTCCTGCGGTCTCTATGGAAACCCCCATCTGCTTCTGCAGTCTCTGTAAGAATTTAATAGGTATACCTGCGTTCCCACGGTGACCAGACGGCAGATAAAGCTGGTGTCAGTCACAGCTGTTCTTTGAGAATGCATCCTTTATTGCCGGAGCACATTCGTGATTTAATTGCTTGTGAGTAACACTTCGCATTACAACACCATCCAGCTGAACTGTAGTGAATAGACCAGTTATTAATATGAGCACAATATCTGTATTGTGGAGCAAAGTGGTGAATTTTTCTAATATCTGGTCTATTGGCTACAGCAGAGCAGTGACCTAACATGGACCTAATTTGATGATCTTTGGCAATTGAATGAATACGTACTGAAGAAAGCCAAAATGTAAAATAAGAATTGGATGATAATTTTGTTGTTGTTTTTACATATATTTTAAGATAAAGGATGAATAGAGAGACAGAGACAGAGACATCACACATATTTTAGTAGACTAGATCTTCTCAGTCACAGGTTTCCACCTTGTGATCAAAATGTGAACTGCAGTTGAAAGTGTGCATCATGCAACCTCATATAACCTCAGTTAGTCCCCAGCCGCTGTTCCCTTAAGTCACTTTCAAGCATGGCATACTGATAAATTTCATATTCATTAAGAAAAATATGGTACAAGATTTAGGTTTTGGGGTTTAAACGTATCTATTACCACAATATTATTAAAATAACACAAAAACAATAATACAACATTCATAGTGTGATAGATAAATGACATTTTAGAGACAGGCAGATAAATGGGTTAGGCTGTTTGAACAGCTTGAAACCGGCATCACAGCAAAGCATCAAACCTATGACAGTAACTTGGCAAGTTACTTTATAATTTTTTTATTTTGATGACTTCATAAGTCCTATAGTCCCTGAGCAGACATTCACGGTTTTAATTACACTGAGAAAACTATTTACATGAAATTATAAAGTTTTACTGTTGTTACAGATAAATTCCCAGAATTCTGATTTAAAATAGTTGGAGAATACAAAACTATTTAGAACGCTGAGACTCTTCAATCACATCTCATAGTAAGTAACTAAGCAAGTAAATAAGCAAGCAGTTCTCTAACCTGTAAGATCCATAATATCCATATCTGGAGGACTTGTCAGACAATACTTTAGCTGAAAGGGGACAAAAAAAAGTCAATTATAAACATTGCATTCACAACTCCAGTCCCAATAAATAAATAAATAAACCAACAAAAATCTTAAGCTAGGCAAGTAACACAAGTCCTTTCCTCATTGTGTACTCTGTGTTGAGTCCAAAAAGAAAAAGAAAAAGAGAAACACACTAAAAGACTTTTTAATTTATGATGGGATTACTAATGACAAAACTAATAATGGCTATCAGAACAGCAATAACATTACTTGATTTATGATTACCCATATCGGTGTAGTCAGTCATATCAACATATTATCAACACTTAAAATGTGTTTAGACAGGTCATAGCTTACATTTTCCTGTAATAAGCCTTATAAATCGTACGTAATGGGAATATTCATTTTATTTTTATAAACAGCTAACGTTTGCCGCCGTTTTTCGTTAGAGTCTGCAAACTCAGCTCAAACAATCAATTACGCCACAAATAGCGCGTGCGCGCCAATCAAATGCCCATATGAATCAGGATTTAAAGGGACCGCAATTATTTTGATCAAAATAATACTCTCGCTAATATTTGTGACCTTGGACCACAAAACCAGTCAGCACGGGTTTATTTGTAGCAATAGACAAAAACTGTATCGGTCAAAATGATCGATTTTTCTTTTATGCCAAAATCAATAGGATATTAAGCAAAGATAATGTTCCATGAAGATATTTTGTAAATTTCCTACCGTAAATATATTAAAACTTCATTTTTGATTAGTAATATGCATTGCTACGGACTTAAAGGCAATTTTCTCAATATTTCGATTTTTTTGGACCCTCAGATTCCAGATTTTCAAATAGTTGTATCTCGGCCAAATATGGCCCTATCCTAACAAACCATACATCAATGGAAAGCTTATTTATTCAGCTTTCAGATGATGTATAAATCTCAGTTTCGTAAAATTGACCCTTATGACTGGTTTTGTGGTCCAGGGTCACATTTGACCATTGTGTTGATAAAGTATATTGAAAAAGTTTGCCCCATTTATATTGTTGTGTGTTATTTCCTAATTCAGCCTCAGGGTTTTTCTTCCCCTACAAATGTCACTTCAGATGCTCTATACCCTATTGATCGTAAATTGTGAAACTTGCAGGGCAGTATGCTATCATTATATGAAAAAAATCATAATGGAAGTTCAATCATGGACATAAAAAATGTTTTAATCAATTATCATTTAAAAATAAAATTGCAGGAATGATAAACTGTCTGTTTGACAAAAAAAAAACACTGCAACGCCGTTTTATGTCCAGAAGATGGCAGTAAAGTAAAAGCAATATATGACCACCCAAGCGAGGGGTCATACGTGTGGGTGGGTATTTAGTGTAAAATAATGTACTGTACAAATGACAGAACATTACCAAAGAGAGGCAATAATTTTGATTCATTGATATAAAATAGTTTCATTCGGAGGACAACAAATTACTGCTATTAAATTAAACTTAGTGATGGCAGTCAATTCGAATGTATTGTATGTGTGACATATCCATTTATACTATTACATCAAGCTAAATATATTGGTCTGATTGGTCACATATCCATGACACTATAAGGGAAATGAGCTGAACTACAATGTTCGCTCAACCAGCACCACGGACAGCAACTGCCACCATTCAGCAATAGTGTAAGCTGATTAATACAAAACGGTATCAAATAATAACAACAACAACAACAACAACAAGAAAAAACAACAGAAGCAGTAATTGAAAGCAGTTCACACACGTTCTTTATCTTAAACTGGCTCCTCTTCTCCATACTCTGTTGTTACAAAAAAGGAAAGAAGATTAATCTGTAAACTTTGCAATATCTTCGGAATTTAGTCTACACATGCACCAGTTGGTGACTACTTTAGCTGAAAAATTTGTTTTAGATGGAACATAAAATATGTCTGATTGAAACACCATGACACTCACCCCTTACAGCTCCAACATTTTGTTCACAAACGATATTATCATAATTCTTCTGTGTTTCTTCTAAAAATGTACAGCAGATGCATATTATGCAAATATGTGTCATGCCAAAACACACATTAAAAAAACTAGGCTGTAAAAATCACCTTCTCTCATGGTTGTGGCATCATCGTAGGTCTCATGCATGCAATCTGTGAAAAAATACAGACAACATCACTCTCTCTAAACTAGGACTAAGTTATATTTGTGGTCCTACTTCATATTTATTTTGGAATGATCATTTTACTATGGAAAATTCTCACAATTCTATCAGTGTTGACATATTCTTCTGGAGCCTTTTGGTCCATTTTGTCTGTAAATGAAAACCAATAAATCATACACTCTAAGAAATGTCCATTACAACAGTTCTAAACAAACACAGTGGTGGATTTTGATGTGAGAGGACAACAAGGGATAAACTCTCATTCTGACGTCACCCATTCACTGCAAAGGATCCACTGGTGAGCAAGTGATGTAATGCTAAATTCTTCAAATCTTTTCCAATGAAGAAACAAACTCATCCACATCTTGGATAGCCTGAGGGTGTGTATTTTTATTTTGGGTGAACTTTTTCCTTTACTAAGAGAATTCAGAAATGCTGACTTTGATATCTACACTTGTTCAAACTTCCCCCACAGACTAACACCTGTGTGCTCTCACCCTGACTGCAGCTTGCACAAACACGTTTTTACACAAACACAGCGATGTGGTTTTCACTGCTGAATTCTGTGGTTAAAAGCAGGAAGCATAACAGGATTAACATAGCTTTAACTCTAACGATCAAAAAAGACATGTAGAATCATTAGACATGTCAGCATAGTAAAAAAAACAAAAAACTTTCAACTATAAATTCATCATTTTGACTATTCACAACAACAGTATAAAATGTTTTCATATTAATAATAAAGGTGATCATTTCAACAGACTCACCCCTCTGAGTGAAGTGATTGTGTCTGTGCTGAATTTCCTCATAAACGGCCTCAGTCATCGTCCTGTGTCTCCTCTTAGAGAGAGCTGTGAGTGTAGACAGACAAACCTGCTGTCAGTTCACAACACATGACTGATCACACACTGAATAAGACACAATATGACAGTCTCTGGATCTCTCCTACCTCTCCTCATCACTCTGTTCTGCTGAATCAGTATAAGCAGTGGCACTAAGAGCAGTAAGAGCACAACTCCCAGTACAATCACAAGCACGCTGCTGGAGGAGTTTGTGGAGGAGAGACTGATGTTGAGCGCACTGGAGGAGAAACTGGAGGAGAAGCTGATGTTGTTGTGGCAGGAGTAGTGGACACTGGCACATCTGGCAAAATAGAAACAAACACATTCAAAATCATGATTGTCTTGAATACATAAAAATATTAAAAATAAAAAGAATAATATTTCTCAGTGTTTGCTGTGACCTGCACAGGTGAGTCCAGCGTGCTCTTTGTGGGAGCAGTCAGTGTGGCTTTTCAGGGAGACAGGACAGTCCCACAGGTGAATCTCATTCCCTCTGTACTCACTGTTCAGCCACACAACACCTTCACCTATACTTTATAAAATTAATGCTACTTTCAAAATGACAAAGAAAAAAAATCAGTCCCTTTTTTTAGCAAATATATATTTATTAAGTAGTCTGCCCTTTGTCTGTTTATTAATGACAAAGTTATGAAGGAGAATTATAAAATACTTGTAGATTTAATTTAGAAAAATAGGCCTCACAAATTAAAAAGAGAAGTATTTTCTTTCTTAGATGGTTCAACAACTTTTACTGCATTCTGTCTGTGGTTGATGATGTTGGGAATGTTCTAACTTAGGAGAAATGTATGAATTGCCATGACTTCCCAGTTCCATCAAAGGAATAGAAGCTATCCCAGAAGGTTTGGTCCAACTAATTATAAATCACCTAACATTCAGTAAGGGTAACACTATATATCCTGCTTTACGTTTGGGTGGTATTGACATTTTAGACAGTAAGTGCAACAACAGGCATATTTACAAAATTTTTAAATGAAAAGAAAGAACTCCAAGAGGTAAATTCTACTGGGGAAATAGATTGGAAATAGATTGGAAAAATACCTGGCTTTTGCTGAGCAAGTTTTGTATATGCAACAAAGTTAAGGAAGTTTATTATAAAATATATCCTGTTAACTCCAACAATACTCTGATATTGATGAGACTTGCTCATTTTGTGGTTGTCACGAATCCAGTCTGTGGCCTTCTGTCTGCTTGCCACCGGAGGTTGCCCTCCTATTATATTGACTCTCACATTACACAGACTGTTGCATGTCACTCTGGACTACATTTCCCATGTTCCATTTCACTGATTACGTTTTCACCTGTAGCCAATTACACACACTATAAAAATCAGTCTCAAACCATTCACCATTCAAAGCCGAGTATTGTTAGCGCTTGTCGTTGTATAGCCGATTACTACTTTATGGAGCCAGTTCGCTGTCCTAGTTTCTAGTTCCAAGTTCCTAGTTCTAATCAAGTCTAGTCTCGTCTTGTTTTTGTCTGATTGCCTGTTTCCTGATCACCTGCCTGTCTTGGATTTCTCTCTTGTCGTTTGGACTCTGCTTGCTCCTTGCCTGGACCATCGCCTGCGTTTCAGATTACCCCTTTGGATTACCTTGTTTGGACATTGTTCACAAGAGATTGACCACGCCTGTTTACTGGACTACTCCTTTGTCTTGCCCCAATATACCTGTCCGCCATTGTCTGACCCTTGCCTGTTTGTAACCACATCTTTTAATAAAAGCTTTGCACATGGATCCGCACGCATCTCGTCTCAATTCGCTTCATAACAGTGGTCTTGTGGAAGAAACAGCTGCCCATTTATGTATTTATTTATTTATTTATTGTTTGTTTGTTTTTAGAACAACCAATACATTTTGGGGTGATTTAAGTTAAATAAAATTTTTAGCCCTACAAATGTGATTCACAGTCTTGTCTTCAAAGATGCTATTTGTTATTATGAAACCGAAAACATGTATCTCTTAAATATTCCCTTTCGAACATTCACTTCACGTTGTGTACGGGTAAACTCTTGTTTAGTCTGTTACTGAAGCCTGATTTGTTCACGTTTGTGAAGCTGCACAAACCAATGGCGCTTTAGCCCGCCAGAAAGGGCGGAGTCGACGTATATATAAGTCGACTCGCAGCACCATTTCATCAGAATCTGCTCCTTCAGCGATGAGGATCATCTCTTCGCTGACTCTGCAAGAAGCTAACGAAAGAAGACGGAAAGAAGCTCAACCCGCTTGCCGCCATCGAAGAGCCCCCGGCAGAGGACGAGTCTCCCCTGTGGCCATCCGGCGCTTTCTAAAAGAGCAAATTTGAGCAAATTTCCAGCGCGCATTGTTGCAAATGTTGCGCCGCGAGTGCGACTCGTGCAAGGAGCCCTTGCACAAATCAGACGGGCACAGCGAGTGTGTCACCTGCCTGGTTTGTCCAGTCTTCGCTCGCGTATTGCCTTCTTCACTGAAGGCAGTACTTCCGGCTCTGCTCTCCCATTTCCTTTCTCTCCTAAGAGAAAGAAACAGCGGCTCTCTCTCAACGGGTGTGAGCGGTGTCACGTCGGCCCAGCACCCGCTTGCCCCCCTCTCCCCGCTCCGCCTCGTCGCGCCAGTGTTCTTCGCACAAGAGGATCAACGCCCCTCCTTTGCAGCAAGCGGCTTGGTTTCCTTTGGCGCCTCCGAGGAGGAGATTGCCGTCGACGACTCGATGTCCTTGATGGCATCAGACGCTGAAGAATGGTGCACTCCCTTCTTCCCAACCATCGCAGCTGAAACCGGACACTGAGCTGATCCGTGTTCTCTCCATGGCGGTGGAGGATCTGGGTCTCGAGTAGTCGGCTCCAGATAAGCCCGCTCATGGCCTAGACGAGTGGTTCCTGCCGGGACGCCGTCAACTGCCTCCCCACCAGCGGCCCGCCCCGTTCTTGCCTGCAGTTCACAAAGAACTGACCAAGACCCAATTGCAATTAGATCCACTTGCATCCCGGTTCAAGGCCTGGGCAGCCATACCGGGCGTGTCAAGCTGGGTTAAAAAAACAATTCAACGAGGCTACTCGCTTCAGTTTGCTCACAGGCCACGTTGTTTCAGAAGTATTATTCACACTTCGGTTCAGGACAACGAAGTACAAACACTGCTTGCAAAAGGTGCTATAGAAATAGTACCTCCAGCAAACAGCGAGTCCCAAAAAAAAAACAAAAAAAAAGATGGCGTGCTTTCTCCCACATCTGAATGCTTATGAGCTGGCGGTTCAAGATGTTAACTATCAAACAGATCCTCACGCACATTTGCCCCAAGGACTGGTTTTTAACAGTGGATCTGAAAGATGCTTACTTTCACATACACATAGCCCCACATCACAGGCCGCTCTTGAGATTCACGTTCGAGGGAGTGGCCTACCAATATACAGACCTACCATTTGGACTGTCTCTGGCCCCTTGCACATTTACAAAGTGCATAGACGTGGCTCTTTCCCCTCTGAGGCAGATGGAATGTTCCTATTCATTCCTAATGTTCTAATGTTCTCTGCCCTGTCAGGGCCCTGAGAATATATCTTGAACGCTCCAGCCTGTTCAGACAGTCGGAGCAAATTTTCGTTTGCTTTGGAGGCCGCTCTAAGGGGATGCCGGTTACAAAGCAAAGACTGTCCCGCTGGACAATTGACGCTATAGCCTTGGCTTATGCCTCAGAAGGTTTGCAAGGCCCCATAGGTGTGAGGGCCCACTCCACTAGAAGAATGGCCTCCTCCTGGGCTTGGTCCAGCGGAATCTCTATTGGTGAGATATGCGCGGCCACCGGCTGGTCGTCGCCATCCATTTTACCAGATTTTGCAGCCTAGATGTCCCTGCTCTCCAGGCATGGATTTTATCGGCTTAAACTGCTTAAACTGCTTATTTCTCCCTACGGTAGAAATAGCTATGTCCAAAAGTCCTCAGCTATGCTCGGGATTCAGTTGACTCATGTTGTCATGTTATCTGTCCCTTAACTTAATTGCTCCAGAACTGGGCTCGCAGAGCGGCTTTGTCTGCTTCTGCGCATAGCACGGCTTGTTTTATTTCTTTCCCCATACTGTACACAACGTGAAGTGAATGTTCGAAAGGGAACGCTCCGGTTACTGACGTAACCTCAGTTCCCTGAGATAAGGGAACGAGCACTGTCTCACTTGCCGTGCTATAAGCTGCACGCGAATCGATGACTGTCACTTCAGTCGAATGATTCTGATGAAATGGTGCTGCGAGTCGACTTATATACACGGCTTATATACACAGCTCCGCCCTTTCTGGCTGGCTAAAGCGCCATTGGTTTGTGCAAACTACACAAACGTGAACAAATCAGGCTTCAGTAACAGAGTAAACAGGAGTTTACCCATACACAACGCTCTTTCCCTTATCTCAGGGAACCGAGTTTACATCAGTAACCGGAGAATTTTTTTTTGTTTTTGTATGCAAAATTCTTTATTCACATGCAAAAAAATGTTATTTTTTTCTGTCTCAATTTCTGTCTTGTTCCCTCAATTTTTTCTTTGTTGAATTTAACTCTCCAATTTCATCTGTCAGACAGAAATGTGTTTTTTTATACTGTAAATGTCTTATTAGAGATACAACCATGTTTGATCCCTGATCATGTATTATATATTCTGATAACTTACAAGTTTATGTTTAAAACAGAGATGGCGATAAAAAGGCAAATGTTCCACATGGCAGCTTTAATAAAGAAAAAAATCTGAACTTGTCGTCATTCATTATTGTTGTCTAAATAAAATTGTAAATATTTGAAGAAACTCTAAACATCAGAAAAGAGAGAATCATTTCTATTTTTTGCTAAATGCACTCATAAGATAAATACATTTACAATACACAGCAGTGTGCAACAATCTTTTATTTCAAAAGAATATAACAACAGCAAGCTTTGGCCTGCAGGTGCTTTTGACCTGGACACCTTCAGCTTTTTAAAAGCAGGTGCTTTTGACCTGGACACCTTCAGCTTTTTAAAATGATCACATAAATGTCAAAATACAAAATAACATATTTCTATAAACCTATATTTGTATTGAATTGATGTCCATGTTTTCTATTAATGTCTAGTAATTGTAACAACAGCAAGCTTTGGCTAAATGCAATTGTGTTGGTACATTCAACACTTTTAAGTGCAGAGCAACTAAAAGCTGTAATAAGATGTGAGGCAGTGGGTGTAGTCACTGACTTAAACAGTCCCTCCCCGTTTTCCTGGCTCTTCCCTCAAATAATCATAGTCTGTTGTTAGAAAACAAAAGCAAATGTTTAAATTGCATTATAATTTTTAGTTATGAAAACTAGACATAATCAGTGTGAGGTAAAGCAGGTCACAGTAACCTACCAGACAGGTCTCGCACATCTTCACTGACATTCCTTACATTATCATACTCCTCCAGATCTCCCTCTGATAAAAAAAATGCCAGTCATTAATTACACGAACAAAATCTCACACTGCACTTCAAAATACACTAATATATCACAATATACAATATAAAAACTAAGTCTATATAATTTATATAACACTATAATGAACTATAGTAAAAGAAAAGAAAAACACTGTACCAGTCTATTTTAAAAAGTAAAATATGAAACTCACACCTGCTTTATTATTGGAGAGCTGTCTTATGATGACAACATCATCATAGCTTTCTGATATGTCACCTGCAACAAAAATAAAAAATAAAATGTGACAATCAAAAGACACATAACTTAAAAATTATAATAGAAATAAAATGCCCATAAAATTATACATGCATATTCAAATAATAAAAGAAATAAACCTCTAGTATGATGTGTCAGTCCAACAGTGATTACATCATCATAATTCTCTGGTGTGACTTGTTGCTCTTTAAATGAGTTAAAAGCAAAAACAAGAAAGGGTGTGAAAAAAACTTCATTTTACTGTTCACAGGCTCAGTAGTTTAATTAATTACTTAATTAATTAAAACCACTTAATTAAATTAAGTGAAATCCTGTGATCAAGTTACAGATTCACTGACCTGTTGGACCTGTGCTGACATCATTATAGTAAGGTGTGCCTCCTACCGCAGATTCTGGGGAATTTAAATAAAAATGAACCTTCAAAATAACAATGCACTTTGTTCTCCATTTTCTTTCAGTGCTAAATTTAAAGATAGTTATCCATCTTTTTCCTAGAAAGTCTATACTGCGTTTTAAATTATGGGATGCACTTCCAGTTTGGGGACGTTCTATACTAAAAGACTGAAACAAATCATTTCAAATTAAAAAGTTGTACTAAAAATGATCCTTATCCATCAGTTTCACTGAGTTGTAAGTTTTATTTCATGTTCAATTTTCAGATGTCTATAGAATAACATAACACTTGGTATTTTAATGTGACATGGTATAACAAGAATATCTATGAGAAGAGCTGTTTTCAGTCTGCTGTAGTCTTTTCCTCATTATTTTAATTTTTCCTTTGTATTCTGCTGTAACAACATGGGAGGGAAAAAAACAAACATAAACTACTGCGCATTTGTGGTCTGGCCTCCTGATTTCATTTACAATAGGCTATATACTATGAATAATTTACTGGAATGCACTAAGAATCTCTTGTTTTTCTCCCCAAATCCTAATGTCTCTTTCCAGGTTTGTTTTCACATGGATGCTTTAAAATGCAATCGTAATTGTCTCCCCTTTTCACTTCTAATCCTATCAGATGTGTTTATTAAAATGTTTCTAAAGCAGTTAAATACAATATTTGTTATATTTTAAAATGTCAGAAAACAGTTGGAAATATTATCGCTCGCTAATATTAATGAACATTTTTAAGGCAAGGCCACGTATGTATTACTACAGTGACATTTAACACGAGCATGATATTCTTGCAGAAATAATCTAGCTTTTGGTGTTATTCATGGTATATTGAAAGTAATATGTTAATACTTTTACACTTTTAAATTTACTTTTAATTATTAATGGTTTAAGGGTGAGTAGACGTCACCTCATTGTAAAGGTTTCACTGATTGTTTACAGTGTAATTATGGTAAGTTACTCACATGATTCGTGCAAAGCTTCATGGGGTGCAGGAAAAAGATGGATACTGTAGTTCCAGGCATGTCTTAACCGCATTACCAAAGACTTTAGATATTCCAAAATGGTGCACTCCTATTACTTATGGATGGGAGAAAGCGACTTGCCTCATAGTCTACTATGCTATCAATGGCTCAAGCCTCCGTTACAGCTCTAAAATTATGTTTTGGAATTAGCAATGGAGGAGTGGGGTAAGAAGTGTAAAAAATTAGTCCTACACACAAGAGCGTTTTAAGGACAAAAACCTGATGTATGTCTTGAAATACATCATCTGAACAATGTCTTGAGGTGTGGAAACCGTAGTATATGTGGAATAATTGACTCCGGTCAGTTGAATTATTAGAAAATAATGCAGACGTGAGGTGAAGGTTTTCAATTAATTTCACATTTCTGTATGTTACATTATAACATTTTATTCCTCTAACCTGAAAGAAACTCATCCACATCTTCGTACCCAGAGTGCTGTTCTTCAGAAAAGACACTTCCTGTTATTGGGAAGCAGAACCACAGAAATATGTTTACAATCACAAACCTCTGGAACATATAACACTATATTATTTCAAATGATATGCAAGGTCACATCTTTACAAAAATGAACCATGGTTATTGTTGTTAAACCATGGTAACCACAAATTAATCATGGATTTGCTACACTAACCATAGTTTAACCATGGTATAGACGGTTTCATCAGGCACACGCGCCTGGCTCGAAGTTAACTTCCGGTCTGTGTTTGTTTATCAGTCTGGCTATGATTTTCCAAAAGGCTTCGTTGAATAAACATGAGCACATACTGCACGTTTAAAAATCTAAACAAGGCGCGGGTGTTTTTATATCACTGTATTTCTGAAGGAAGACTACCTTTAGAAAATTTTCGATGTTATTTTCATTTCATCTTGCATGTTATATGCCTGATAAAGCAGCGTTTGTGAGCTCAGCGCTGCTTTGTTTGTGTACAGCCGTTACTGGGGAAACACCTTTCTCCTGCTTTAAATCATCTTCTGCTGGCAGAGAATGAATTTGCATTTTCAGCAAGTCCGTCTGATTTACGCAGCAAACATATTTTGCTTATCAAAAATAATCTACTCTAGAGGGACTACTTAGCTGCTGTTATTGATTCTATTTGGAAGTCTACCGGAAGTTAAGTTAGGGCCACAAAAGCGTGCATGCGCAGTGACTTGCAGTTATTGTAAAATAACTGTTTATGTTATTGCCGTTGAAACCGTCTATATGAACTAAAACTGTGGTTATACAATTGGCAATCAATCTGCCAAAAAACACTACACTTTTACTATTATAAAACTATGGTTAACTGGTAAGGGCACAAATGAATCAATGTGATTTACTCCACTCACCACTCTGAATAAATTAATACTCTCAACACATATAAATTAATCTCTCAATAAATTAATTAATGATCTCAACACATCAGACACTATGACAGTTACTCACCCCTCTGAGTGAAGTGATTGTGTCTGTGCTGAATCTCCTCATAAACGGCCTCAGTCGTCGTCCTGTGTCTCCTCTTAGAGAGAGCTGTGAGTGTAGACAGACAAACCTGCTGTCAGTTCACAACACATGACTGATCACACACTGAATAAGACACAATATGACAGTCTCTGGATCTCTCCTACCTCTCCTCATCACTCTGTTCTGCTGAATCAGTATAAGCAGTGGCACTAAGAGCAGTAAGAGCACAACTCCCAGTACAATCACAAGCACTGGGGGGACGGAGAGAGACGCTGCTGGAGGAGTTTGTGGAGGAGAGACTGATGTTGAGGGCACTGGAGGAGAGACTGATGTTGAGTGCACTGGAGGAGAAGCTGATGTTGTTGTGGCAGGAGTAGAGGACACTGACACATCTGTCAAATCTGTCAAATACACAAACACATTCAAAATCATGATTGTCTTAAAATCGCCTAAAATTAATACTATTTGTTCGTGTTTTGCTGTGACCTGCACAGGTGAGTCCAGCGTGCTCTTTGTGGGAGCAGTCAGTGTGGTTTTTCAGGGAGAGAGGACAGTCCCACAGGTGAATCTCATTCCCTCTGCACTCGACTCTGTTCAGCCACACAACACCTTCACCAGCACCAAAGACTGAATTCCCATCAGCCCTCAGTGCTGCTCCACAACCCAGCTGCCTGCAGACCACCTGAGCATCGCTGATGTCCCACTGATCATCACAGACTGAGCCCCACACAGCGTTATGATACCCCTCCAGCCTCCCAGAGCACCGGCCCTCCCCTCCACTCAGTCTGAGAGCAACATGATCTAAAACACACACATCACAGACTCAAAGACAAATTACTGGCACCTGCAGTAGGGTAGAGTGTGTGGAGTGAAAATAAATCCTGTTGGTGCCCCCAGAAGACAGTAACATAAAATACAATATGGTTGTGATGCTCTTTTCCATCAAATAAATTTACCTGAACACTGTCTCTGGTGGGACGATGTGGGGCATGACAAATAGCTTCTAGGGGACTCATGACTCTCCTGTTCTGTAGTCACAAGTTAATTCAATATTATATGTACAGTATATACTATATTTCATGCATTTACTCAAAGCATTAAAATTAAAGGATTACTGTGGTAATTTTTGACTGAAGGAAAATGTCTCACATGAGCAGGTGATTTCGGCCACTTCATCTCCAACACAGTCATTCTGTCCCCACGGTAAAGACGGAAACTGCCACAGATTTGAATCATGTGGTCGACATGTTACTTTATCCAGCCAGTTAGTAGCTGATTTCACTCTTGATATTGAATTAGAAAAATCACCAGATCTTCCACAGTTCAGCTCTTGACAAATCATACTTGCTGTGTCTTTGTCCATCTGGTTCCAGCACACATTACCCCAGGATCCATTGTAGAAAACCTCCACATTCCCTTCACAGCCCTCAGTTAACCTGATCTCTTTAAACTCTAGACAAAAAAAAAAGACATTTTAAAATCACAAAATAGAAAAATCTTAACATTATGGGCATTATGGACATGTGAATATGTTGTTGAAATATTTCATAACCTTATTTAAATTTTGAGTTTAAATAAAAAAATGCATATAAATAAACATATAAAAATGTATAAATAAATATTTGCTATTGTTAATTGTTCACTGTTTACCTGAGCACACGACTCCTACATCCTCCTTGTGCTGACAGTCATGTTTTCCCCAGCCTGGAGAAGAGCAGCTCCACAGGGACGTCTCATTCCCCTCACACTCCACCTCATCCAGCCATATGGGTCCAGAACCAGGACCAAACCAGGCTGGTACCTGCTGGTTACTGAGGGCCACTCCACACTGCAGCTGTCTGCACACCACATGGGCATCTTTAATATCCCAGGAGTCATCACACACTGTCCCCCATGAGCCGCTGTGAAAAACCTCCAGCCTCCATACACTGTCCCACATGAGCCGCTGTGAAAAACCTCCAGCCTCCATACACTGTCCCACATGAGCCGCTGTGAAAAACCTCCAGCCTCCATACACTGTCCCACATGAGCCGCTGTGAAAAACCTCCAGCCTCCCTGCACAGTCTCCCCCAGAACCCACCAGCCTGATGGACCTGCGACCTGATATTCAGAGAAAGAAAAACACATTATTGATCATGAACAACTGAAGAATCTGTCCAGATGTTGTTGTTCTCACCAAGGCAGGTGATTGACAGCTGTTGTGTGGAGCTGCAGTTGAGAGTTTGTGGAGAGCTGCAGTTCCCCAGATGAGCTTCACTCCCAGAGCACTGGAAGCCCGTCACACACTCATGACTGTGTTCAGGACTGGATGAAGAGGAGCCGTAGAAGTTCAGCACAGAGCCACAGCCCAGCTGTCTGCAGACCACAGAGGATTCAGTGAGACTCCAGGAGTCGAGCAGAACTCTCCTCCAGACCTGATGGATGAAAACTTCCACCTCCCCCTCACACTGTCTCTCTCCAGACAACCGCACCAGACCATCATGAAGAGCCAGAGAGGAACCTGAAGAGAAGAACTGTTTAAAAATATTGCAAGTCTGAGAATACGATTTACATCAATAATACATTTTACATAATAAGAAATAAATTCAGAAATGAATAACGAGGGCATTAATATTTCAGTCTGAAATGAATGTTTGAAAAATACATGTAGTGAGATGAAATATTGCATTTTTATTTTTGAGTCTCAGCAGCATAATAAATCATCACCCGAAGCTCCACTCTTCCTGAACAAGAGTCTGAACTGTTTACCAGCCTGAGATCTGTGTAACCTGGACAAAAACAAAAAACAAACCTTTTGTCATTACAAGGCCCATTACTTACAAAAAGAGTATCTATCATATAACATATGATGATTGAGAAAATTCTTCTCTTTATGTGTGTGACATGGTCAAATAGTTATTTACCATTCAGTAACCATGCAAAAAATAAACAACTTAGGGGAATAACTTTTGCAATAGAATATATTTAAAAGTATAGGTTACCCAAAAATTAGAGTTCTGTCATCATTTACTCACCCTCCACTTCTTCCAAACTTGAATGAGTTTGAATTTCTTCTGTTAAACACAGAATAAGATATTTTGAAGAATGTTGGTAACCGAACAGTCGATGGTAGCCATTGACTTCCATAGTACTTTTTTCATTACAATGGATGTCAAGGCCTACCATCAACAGTTTGGTTACCAACATACAGGTTTGGAACAACTTCAGGGGGTGAGTAAAGAATCACAGAATTTTCATTTTTGGGTGAACTATTACTTTAAGATTGATTATAGTAAATCTTACATTACAAATAAATGAAGAGACACTGAATATTGATTCTTTACCAGAACATTTCAATCATGAAGTATCTCTAGCCTCCCAGAGCACAGGTGAGATCCAGCAGCAAGTCTGGAAGGCTTATGACCTGTTTATATTGCATGAAGCACAGTGCACAGTAAAGAAAACACACATAATACAGACGTAATGCAGATAAAACATGCAACAATACAGCTATATTAGTATACAAAAAGTTTTCCACATAAAACACAATAATTCTTTGCATAAACACAAATCCATGGCCAAGAAGTAGGGAAAAATGCTTAATGCTTAGAAGTACACATTATTTACCTGAACAGATGACCCCCACATTTGCATTGTGAGTACAGCTATTCATGCTCCATCCTGATGACTTACAGTTAGTTCTTCAGTGTAGACTCTGATCCAGTACATAATACAGCACTCATCCAGACTGGTCCCGATCCTCGCCCAAAGTCATCATCAGTCAGAGCATCTACAGGTTCTCCACAGTCCAGCTCTCTACACCCCACTGCAGCATCAGCCAAATCCCAGAACTCATCACACACTGTTCCCCACTGACCTCTATGAAGAACCTCCACTCTACCAGCACAGCGACTGCTACCATTTACCAGTCTCACATTCGCACGGTCTAAATATTGAACAGAAAGAATGACAGATGACGAGACAGTAGAGGACAGAGACAAATAAATATTGAAATTGTGAAGAAACAAGGACATAAAAAATACTGTATTTAAAAAATGCTTTTTCTTTTACTTAAAGAAAAATTAATTCCAACCTGCACACATTAGTCTCCTTTGTCAAAAGCAGCTGCTCCCAGCACCTGTACAGGAGCCCCACAGTCCAGCTCTCTACACAAACTCTGCATCCTGCTGGTCAAAGGCAGCGTCACACACTGACATCCACATCTGATCATGAAGCATCTCTAACCTCCCAGAGTAACTGGAGTTTCCAATAAGTCTGGCACCTGAAGTAGGAAGAGATAAGAAATTCGCCTTTCCTGCATGTGTTTTAACTGTGGGGGAATTCATCCTCATGTTAAACCAAATCCTTATGAATTCCTTTCTTTTCATGGAAGACAAAAAAATAGAATATTTAAAGAAAATCCTGGCCAGTCTTTTCAATATAATGCAAGTGTATTAGGACTGGGGCTGTCAAAGCACCAAAATGACAAAAAAAAAGAAAAAAAAAAGGTAACACTTTATAATAACTTTCATTAATAAATCATTAACAAACATTATATAATGTTTAACTAATCATTACTTAATATATATTCACAAATCTAGAAATATGAGATAATGTGCTTGTTAATGTTAATTAATGAACTAGGGCTGCACGATAAATCGCATGCGATATTTAACGCGCATCTTATCAGTAAAGCCGGTTCTGTAATCAGCAGTAAATCTCCATCACGTGCGGGCTTTCACATGGAGCAGCATTAACTACACAGAGCCGTTGTTCACTGACGAGCTGCGCAAAACCACGTTCATTTTGATGGCAAAAATGGTCCCAAATTACCGGAATTTACCCAATTTTCACATCTTTACAAATTATTTATTAATCATTTGTTCATGTTTCTGCAGTACCCAATCTAAAGTTGAGACTATTCATCATTTGTAAATGTTTATAAACATTTACTAAGTTTTTTTTTTGTATCTTTATTGGCACTGGACTTTTAGCTACTGTAACAACGTTTGTGTAAAGGGTGGTTAGTTAAGTTTAGCTAAATGCTTGGTAGAGACATTACACACATTGTAATTTGGGTGCAAAACATGTTTTTATTGCCTCAACACTTATATTAGTATACTATTGTGAATCATTAAACAGAATATTCCTTGAATCATACGTTAACAGGAGGGGGGGAAAACGTACTCAAAACGTACTCGGTTACTAACGTAACCTCGGTTCCCTGAGATACGGAACGAGTACTTCGTCGGTTTAAGACGCTTAGGGAAAATTCCTTTTTCTCCGATGACTGAAGCCTTTCAATAACGCAGCGTAACTGCACGGCCATTGGTTCATGCAGTGAATAAAAAAAGAACCAATGGCTC